AGATGGATCTGACATAAACAGATAATCACGTGCCTAATGAATGTTACCGAGGGGAAGTCTAGGAGTTATGGGGAGGCACTGTCGAGAGGCTGTAACTCGACCATAAGAATTCCTTGAGGTATGACATTTAAACTGAGCTAGGAAGAGCATGAGGCCTCTTCCTCCAGGGACATAAAAGCCAGGATCAGCGTCTTTCTGTCCTTGATGATCCTGGGGGCCCAGACTTTGGCAGCCCCTGGGGATACGTGGCATTCCCTTCCCTCCAACCTGGGGACCATGGGGGAGGACAGTTTTCTTCATGATTCTGGTTGGTCTGTTTATCTCCTTATCTCCTGCCAGTAATGATATCAATCTCCTTCACCGGCCTCTCTTCTTTACCAAGGCTTCTGATGATATTTCTTTGTCCTCTGAAATTGCCTCCGTGAGAAACGGGCTCTTACACGTTGGCTCGATGCAATTCTTCCTCCCCTTCCCCCATGCCACAATCAACAGAGTCGACAGGGCTCCTGCTCAGAGATCAGCCTTTCCCAGAGGCTTCCGATGGTGGATGCCTGCGATTGAGAGGTTGTAAATGGGCAGCACACAGATTGTTGGGAATTTCACATGGAAATCCATATTTCTGGCTTCTCTTGAAAAGTCAGAAGAATTGTCAGCACCGTTTCCACACCGTTTCCAAATGGCAGTAGTCGGCTGTAGCTGAGTGGCAGCTGTCTCTCTTAGATGAGGCACACATCTAAGAGAGATGTTACAGTTCACCTCAGACACCATCACTCCTGTTATGTCCCCAACCCAGCCTGCTTAGTCATTTATGATACCTTTTGGTCTCTTAAGTCAAGTTTGCATTGAATTTTAATTCGGATTTAAAGAGAATCTGGCACATTGTAAGTGCTGAATTAAGAGTCGCTGTTAATAGTTGCCTTGGGAAAGCTATCCAAAGACTACAGCCCCAGGGATGGATAGAAAAAAATATGGGGCCTTTCCCGAATAGCAGTTGGATAGAGATAGTGTTGTTAACCAAATGTTCGAAAAAGCACCCTCCCTTCCTCCTTAAATCAGCATTCTTACCTGAAAACGTTTCTTAGTGAGTTGCATAAAATCCTCGCCCATAACAAATACAGAACATGTCGCAGGTAAGGTGATTATTGTTATTTACCATCGTCGCATAATTAGACATCATTTCAACAATTACCCAAACAGAAACTGCGTGAATAAACACTCCTTAGGAAAGCACAAAGTAATGAACAGAGGTCGGGGGGTGAGATCTCAGCGTTCAGAGGGCGCTTCCCGTTTAGGATCACGCAGGAGGTGGACATGCGCGGAGGAGAGTCCCGGGGATGTGGTCCAGCCAGGCATTTATGGCTTTTTGAGAATGGATTCAGGGCAGTGAGTTTCCTCTGGCTCGGTATCTAGCAAAGTGGCTCTGTCCATCAGCGAGAGGGACTAATAATTTAGCTGAACTTGGATCTGCTCTCTCCTAAACTGACGTGTCGGGCGCTGTCCAAGGTGCTGACACCGGGGCACCAGGCAGGCATGGACCGCGCGCCTCGTCGCGGTTCACAATGCAGCACCCTCCTCGCCTCGGGTCTTGGGAGACGAGATTCAGTCTGCCGTACCATATACACCTGTTGATCGCCTACTCCGTGCCAGTCAGGGAACTGGGTGCTGAGGGAGGAATAGACTGACAAAATGCATAAACAACCCAAGTAAGACAATAGCAGATAGACAAGGACTATGATGAAAATAAAAAGTATCCGAGGAGATACACTTACCACAGAGCTTGGCTTGTGGCCACTTAATGAAGGTTTGGTCCAGTTTCTTCCCTGTCCGACCTGTATGGCCTCTCCCTCCTCAATGGGTTCCATTCTTCTCTCCCTTTTTTGTCTTAGGGTCTTGAGTTTGAATCTCAGCTCTATCACGGTTCTGTGTCCTTGAGCAGCTGGTTCAATGTCTCTGAGCCTTAATTTCCTTATCTGCAAAGTGGGTGTAAAGATAGCACCTGCCCCTCAGTGCCGAAGTGAGGAATAACCAAGTCTCGCACGTGAAGCACTTGTACAATGCCCAGCTACGTTGGGCACTCAGGAAATATTGAGATGTGAATGATCTGAATCCTGCTTGTGCTTCCAAGGTCAACTCAAGCCTCACCTCCTCTGGAACATTCTCCTAGCCTCCCCCCAACCCCTTCACCACCACCACACACATGACTTTGCTGTTCTGGGACCAGGCTGTTTACCTGCTAATTGTCTGTCTCACCAAAACTAAATAAGCTCCCAGTCTCCTTTGCAACCCCCACTCTCATGCACCTAACACCCTACTGAGCCCTTCGTGGCGCTCAATACATGGTTATTGACTGACAACATGCACATGACTTGATATTCTCGATGTCTAATTATTTTCCGTGGATCAGGCGAAGGGGAGACCTGTGTGTCATGCTGATTCCTGACATGCATGTAGAGCTAGAGCCCTCAGACTTATGCAGGCTGAATGCAGTGATAACCCCCACCTTCCTTTCATGAAGGAAAAATCAAGGGTAATCGCGCGACTTTCTTCAGCTCCGTTTGTGTGTGTGAGGAGCGTTACACTGGCATTGATTACAGAAAGGAAAGAAGATGTGATAAGTACCGAAGGAGGAATTAGTTGTACTCGGCCTCATTAAAATCCCATAGAAAGAATTCTTCTCTTATTTGGAAAGGTGATCTAACATGACCTTGAAGCCATCGTATGAACCACTGTACTTTTCATTTTAAGGGGAATAAATGGCAAAGAGATCATTTGAGCAAGGCAGTCCTTCAGTTGCCTTTCAGAAATGAAATGACCTTGATTTCCAAACCACTTCCTCTCAATGAAATTAAATTCCATTGAAGCCTGACAGTTAAGGGAAAGATAATCAACCCAGAGGTGGAGCTCACCCAACTGATGCCGTGGCAGGAGTCAGGGGCCTGTGGGGAGGGAGAAAGGAGCAGGGAGGTGAAGGGTCTTGGACCTTTGGTCAAAGTCGATTTTTTTCACAGACACGTTGAAATGTAGCCTTTCTCCCCAGATGGAGCTTATGCTATATCATGTGCCTTAATAGTAGAAGGCGATTATTCTATGGTCTAGCACAGTTTAGAAAATTTCCAGGCAGCTTATTTATCTGCCCGGAGAGGACCTGTTGCAGTCAAGATATAACAGCCACCACGATAACTATCATCCGTGTATTTCTGATTGTGCCAAGCCCTTGGGACACCTCACCTCATTTCTCACAGCTGTTCATGCTAGCTGCCACAATGATTCTTCCCATTTTGCGGATAAGAAAACTGAGTCTGAGAGATGTTAAGTCATTTGCCCAAGGTCACACGGCTTAAATGAATGGCATAGCTGAGGCTAGAATCCAGGTTTGCTAGATTCTGAAACCACCATGGGTCTTTTGACCCAACGAGGCCATGCCCTGTGTAGGAGTGTTCTTCTCAGGGAGGATGTCAGACTTTTTAATCCCATGTAGAAAGCATCTTCTTTGGCCCATATCACTCCAGTTTGGTAATAGTGATGTATTCTGTAACCCATACTCCATAGCTATTCGTGACTGCGGCTCAGTATAAATTGGCAGGTGTATGAGAAATACCTTAGTTGAGGTCGGAAGAGACATGGTGACTCTAGCCCTCATGGACTGATAGCAGCCTGTCTACCCAAATACGGAGAATGGAGCTAACAGCGGAGGCAGCTAAGGAGACACAGCAGCACAATGCCGTCCTTATGAGTGTGGACGCTGGAGTCTGGTTGCCTAACCCTGGATCCACCACCACTTTGTAGTTGTGTAACTATGGGCAAATTACTTAAGCTCTCTGGGACTCTTTCTTCGTCTTCGGGATGGAGAAAATAACGATACCTACTGTATAAGGGTATCGTGAACGTTAAGGGAGATGGTTGTATAACTAGCATGCAATAAGTGCCTAGTGTACATTAGCTATTAAGATACCAATTTGGTCCCTGGAAATGGGAACACCTGAGATTCTGAAAGAAGACAGAAGAGGTCAGTTCGCTGGAAGCTGATCACCAAGGGAGAGTCGCTTAGAGGCGAATTGTACTGGGGATGGCAAGGGCGAAGGGGAACCAGGGCCAGGAAAGGGAGGAGTCCACGGGACGAGCTGCATTCTCGGCATGTGGGAGGAGCCCTTGAGAGGAAAGGCTGGGCCAGAGAGAAGGAGAGATGCAACTTAGGAGAAGCCCTACATCTTTCCATCCTGCAGTCCCTTCATCCGTCTATCTTTCCATCCTCCTACCCTTCCACGCATTGCTCCATCCACCCATCCATCCATCCACCCATCCATCCTTCTATCTTTCCATCCTTCTACCCTTCCACGCATCGATCCATCCACCCATCGATCGATCCATCCATCCACCCATCCATCCATCCATCCATCCATCCATCCATCCATCCATCCATCCATCCATCCATCCTCTCATTCCAGAGTCTGCCATCCTTTCTGGATTTCCAACCCTCCTTCCATCTTTCTGTCCTTTCGTGACTGCATCTGCTCGTCTATGCGGCCCGTTTTCATCCTCGGGGTAGCATAGCGGTTTAGAAGGCAGAATGTAGAGATGGAAGGTGGGATTCCCACCCTGTGTTACTTACTACTTGACCTTGGGCAAACTTCTTAACCTCTCCGAGTTTCCCATTTGTGGGACCGTCTCTTGAGGTAAAGGGGAGCGCCTGGAGGGTTTCGAGCAAGGGAGCGATACAGTCATGTCTGTGTTTTCGCAGGTTTTCTCTGCTGTGGGGAGGATGCAGTGAAAGGGGGCAAGACCAGCAAGAGGGAGGTGAGAGGGAGGTTGATTGGAGGCGGCTGCAAGTAACTCAGGCGAAGATGTCGTGAACAGGAATCGAGAAATGACAGCTGTCACTCATCGTGTGCTGAGGAGGTGTCCCCGACACCTCAGTGCCGTGTGCTTCGCCCCTTTTATTTCCTGGACTCCGACTAAGATCCCTACGAGTTAGATACTATTTTATGATTTCCATTTTATAGGAGTGGAGAGCGAGGCTTCGGCAGTGTGAGGACCTCAATAGGCGCCAGGATCGCACCACGGCTAAGTAGCAGAGCTGCAGCTCGAACACAGATCCTTGACCTTGACGTCTGCTTGGCAGCTCCAGGCCACCCCCTGTGCAGGACAGTGGAGGAAGACGGGCTCCTTCACGGGACACTGCTGCTATCCGAACGGTAAGATGTCACCGCTGACCGTGGGAGGCGCTGGTATGCTGGCCGGTAAGCCAGCTCCCTGCGAAGCGCACGAGCCCTAGTGTGTAGCGTTTACTGATTTATAAGGTATAAATACTCCCACCATGGCTGATTGGACGTTTCAAAGCTGGGAAACTTCCCAGAAAATTGCATATCGTCACCAAATTCTCAAAGTATTCCAAGGTTTTCATTGTGACACCAAAGACCTTGTGCTACATTTTTAAAAACCAACCTCCGAGTGGCATTTAATGAATAAGTGGACAGTAGACATGTATTTAGCTCTCAGACTGGGGTCCGGCTGAGCTCGGCTGGGCTCGACTCAGCTGCTCTGCTCTGTGTGTCACGACTTCTCCACCTGGGACCAGCAGGCTAGCCCAGGCCCGGTCACATGATAACTGGAAACTTTCAAGGTCTCCCAAGCCGTAAGCGCGTAGCTCGTTCCCGGTCACCTTCACCCCATTCTGTTAGCCACAGCAAGTCACATGTTTGGACTCAAAGTCAAGGGGTAGGGAAATATATTTGGTCCTCATAGTGGAAGGGAGTGCCAGTCCCATGGGAAAGAACACAATCCAAGGAGGTGTCCTAACATCGAGGCCACGGACTCCGTCTACCACAGGGGTGTCCCCTCCAGGCGGGCAGAGCAGACTGTGCCTGAGTCTCACCGTCTCCTCCCCCGGGGTCGGCGTCGTGCCTCCACCCCAGCTGTTTGTCCCGCACCCTGGTGAGGACAGGATGGGGAGAGCCCACAGGCCTGGGCCTCCTCCTTTCCGTCCTCTGCCGCTGAGAAGGCTGGGGTTGTCCCTCCGTTTAGAGACCTGAGCCCTCCTTCGCCATCCCGACGAGCCCCGCGACTTTCTTTCTGCTCAGGGTTTCGAGTGAGCCCTGCAGCGAGGTGGTGCAGATGCAACTTTCCCGAACGCGTCTTAAAAATGAGAGCCTTTTAAAAACGTTACGAATAGGCTTTATTGATACCACGTGCAAACAACAACAACAAAGAAAGGAAGATCGTCAGGTGTACACACGGCAATCAAGCAGATCGGGTGCGTTGGAACCCATTAAAGTTAATTGCTTTCACTTGTTATTCCCGGGGGCTGTCGTATCGGTATTAAACGCCAGTGGAATCTGCCGTATGTTTGATTTAGTGGAACCGAGGATTCGGTGATTTACTGCCTCTCGGAGAGGTTTTTATCAAAGCGAGGAATATGCTGAGTGCCTCCTCTCGCTTTTCATGGTACCTGCTGGAAAGCACCTTTGCTGAAAGATTGTCTCACATCCTGTCTCGGGGCCTGTGAGAGTCTCGCCTTTAAGATTCCTGCCCATCTCCAAGTGGGATCGACCACAAGTGCTAGCCACAGGTATGAAACCCTCACAATGGGCACGTCTCATTGAATCCTTACGATTACCCGTGTTTTGCACAAGAAGGAAACCGGAAGTTCCAAGAGATGAAGCCATTTGCCTGAAGTCACACAGCTTGTAAGACAAATCCAGGATCTTCGCTAACGGGCAGGGTGCCAGAGTCCGGGGCTGGTGTTCGCACTTCTTTTGTGGTTCCCAAATCTTGGTGTTGATTTCTCCTCCAGCTTCTCGGTCAGTCTTATCGGAGACTTCTTGACAAGTCTCATAAACGCTCTCAGCCTCAACTTCCAATAAAAGCCAAGATTCATGAACATTTGCCACGTGCCTTTCGCTGTACCGAGAGTTTTAACTACTTAACCTCACCCTGTCCTCCCAACAATCCTGTACTGTAGCATACGGTTTTTATATTTTGTTGTTATCATTGCTACTATTACTGTTACACACAGATTCATCCGTGTGTCAGGCTGCGGTCAGCGTCTGTATCAACTAGGATGTGTCCAAATGCGGATAACAGCTGCCCACCGTGGTTTCACCCGGAGGGCTTTATTTTCTCACAGAGCACCAAGTCCAGAGAGGCTGTTCACAGTGCCGGTTAGGGATCCAAACTCTTTCCATGCCCAGCTCGGTCATCTTTAGAGGTCGGCTTCATGGTTGCAAAATGGTTGCTGCGCCTCCAGGCATCGCCTCTCTTCAAGACAGCAAGGCGAAGGGCCAGAGGCACACCCCCCCTTATTTATTTATGCAGGGTCACCTTTTGTGAGGTCTACTGCTGACGTCTCACTGAACAGAGTTATGTCACGGGACCACTCAAGGTAGCCTAGGAAAGACAAATTATTCTGGTTGCACATGAACAAAAACAGAGCCGTATGGTGACTTCGGAAGAAGGGAACAGATATGGATAGGACACAGAGGACCAACCCGGTCTGGCAGAACAGATCCGCAGGCTTTGCTTGTGGAGCGCATCTTGATGTGTTTCGTCCTGCTAAGCTTCACCTCACTATGATCCCCCTTAATCCTCACACAGGCTTTTGAGGAGGTCAGTCCACTTCCGTTCCCAGGGGTTCTCAAGGCACATTTTTGGTCTCAGAAATGAGGGCCAGGAAGAAGGAGAGGGGCTGTCTCTGCTGTGGACAGACCTCCCCCATATCTCCCCCGCCCCCCAACACACAGGGATGGCAGGCCGGGGACAGCTTGGGATTCGAGGTTGGGACGGACTATGGGTGGAGATTTAATTATGCAATTAGCTGGGCTTGGAGTCAGACCTCTCACCATGCTCCTAATGAATCGATCAGATGCACCACTTGCTGACCTGCTCGCCCCTGAAGGCTCCCAGAATGCACTGCGGGCGCAGGCGGGGCAGGCGGTGTCTGCCCATGCTCAGGGAGCTGGAGAGTTCCTCATTAAGTGGGTGTGCAGTCGATTAACACATGCGCCCCGGCCGCTCTGAGCAGGCCTGGTGATGATCAATTAGAGTGAGTAGATGAGGGCTGCCAGGAAGAGGGAGCTCTCTTAGTTTATTGACTATGTGTATGTGTGTGGGGCGGGGAGGGGCAAATTGATGCATGGTGGTAATTTTCAACAGCCATTTCCAGCATAGATAAATTCTGTATCCCAAGAAGGAATAGGGTAGGAAAAGGAGCTCAGGGGTGATAACTGACGTGTCTATGAGGCTTTTTTTGTTGGTTGGTTGAAGACTTTTTAATGATAAAAGTTAGGTATATTAATAATAATGTATCATAGCATTTCCCGAGTGGTTGCTATAAACGAGACACCGGTTTTACTTATTTTATCTCACTTAATGCTCATGGGAGTGTATGAGAAGGTCGACGCCCCGTCTCAGAGGAGAAGGAGGTTCCGAGAGGGGAAGGCGCTAGTCCGAGTCCCGCAGCTAGACGTGGAAGAGCAAGAACTTGAACCCAGTTCTGTCTGACTCCAGAGCTAATCACGCATCGTTCTCTCCCCAGCTCACCGTTTTTAGAAAATTGGATCGTGCAAGCAATTCTAATCACCCATAACCCCAGCTCTGGGGGACCGTCTGTGAAAGGTACACCACCTACCTCATCTTCCCGCTCTCCTCTGAGCCGCCGGTCCCGTTTTCATTCTCCCTAATCCATCCGTTCCCTTCCACGATCGCCGGTGCCGTCTAAACCAGGGGGAAACAGCCAGTTCCGTCTGTCTCCCCCAAAGGCAGGGGGGAGTCCCAGAGCCTGTGGGCTGGGGGAAGGGAGGGTTGCTGAGCCGCAGAGGCGCGCAGAACCGTTGCGAGGGGGCCCGGTGCTGCCTCTGGGAGGCATCCATTGGCGCCTCCATGGTGGATGCTGTGGGAGGCGATGGGTGAGCAAGGAGCTGGTGCGGGGGAAGGACGCGGGAGGGTAGGAGGGGAGGTCGGTTTGGGAGAGGACGAGGTCCCGGTAAAGAGCGAGGTGAGAGAGAACCGAAGATCACAGCCCTCCGAGGCCAGCCTGGCCTGTCTAACCTTGTCCGTAAAGTCAACCCTCGAATTTAAGCTTCCTTGAGTGAGTGTCTCTTCCTGATAAGCGGATGCTCCTGGATTTCAGTACAACTACTGGGAATATTTTGGGGTGTTTCCTTCTAGTCCTTCCTTCCATCCTTGTCTGTCCCTCTCATTTTATGCATCATCCCCACCCCATTCATCCTCAGTCCTGATTCCTACCCCGGTCCCTCACAGATGCCCACTGTATTGTTCTTGATATATGTCTCTAATGCGCGTTTACTTATAAGATATGCAGAGTTGTTTTCCATGTGGATGGGATTTTAGTATAGAACTTACATGGCGGCGTGCGGTAAATCTCAGTTTTCCTTCTTTCTTTTGTGGCTAAGACGACGTTTTAAAGTTCCATCAGTTTTTCCCCCTATGTCTCGTCTCATGGTTCAAATCATCCTTTGTATATAATTTCATATTTAATTTGGTACTATAACGAGAGGGAGTTTTGTATCTTTCAAGGCCAGATACTAGCCTTCCACCACACATCTTTCTCCTAAGAACTCGGACTGGAGAACAGCTTCAAAAATACCCCATGTCGTGAGGTTGTCTTCTACAAAGAGACATTTCTCAAATTTTCCTCCCAGTTTCACTGAGGAAGATGATGGAGTGAATTGACAGAGAGGATTCTGGGTCTGAGACCAGCTGACTTCTTTGCTGCCCCTCCTGGATGGAAAGCTGGCTAGCTGGAGGAGAATTTAGGGGCTGGATGACATGGTGGGTTTTATCCAAGTCTCCGCTCCAGCCTCTAGGAGTTTAGAGATAAGGTTGGTGGATGTATTAGTTAGGACTCTTTTTGACTGAACTGACAGAAACCTAATTCAAGTTGGCTTAAGCTAAAAAGAGTATTTACTGTCTCTTTGGTAGTCTGGGATGAGTGCAGGTTTCAAGCTCGGCTGTATCCAGTGCTGAAAATGAACCGGAAAGGAAGTAAAGGACCGATCCTCTCTTTCTCTTGGCTCCGCTTTGTCTGTGTTGACTTCATTCTGCAGCAAGTTCTCCCCCAAAGAGAATGGCCTCGGACGGCTTCAGGCTTATACGCCATCTCCCTAGCAACCCAGCCAACAGACAGCACCTCCTTCTCAAGGACTCCAGCAGAAGCCCCCGAATTCTGATGGTGCTGGGCAGGCTCACACGCCGTTTCCTGAACCGGTGACCGTGACTGTGCCGGGTCTGAGCCGTGGGAGCAAGGTCAGCTTCATCCGAGCGTGTGGATGGAGGGGGCAAAGGGGGTCCCAGGGTCCCGTTACAGGAAGAAAAGAGAACGTGTGGCAGGCAAGGAGTATCTGTGGACCCCCATGAGCGTGGGCCGAGGGCGGTGCAGCATACGTCCCCCGAGCTTACCTCTAGGGAGCGGGGAGGGTGGCAGCAAGAAGCGGCAGGTTGAAGCAGGTACGCGGACCCCGAAGTGCATTAACAATCACCCAGGGCTGGACCCGTACCGGGAGCCCATCCGAAAGGCCAGGATCAGAAGGAACCAGGGAATAAAGGGCAGTCTTTAAATTCGGCTCCCTTACTGTTTGCTTCAGGCAAGTCGCCTCCCTACTGTGAGCTTCATCTTCTGTGACTGTGGGGTCGAGATCCCTACGTAAATACAGGACAGCGGCGTAAAGACTGCCCAGAGTCTGGCCCACCGTAGACTGTCAGCCGCTAAGGTTACTTATTTGCCCTCCGATTCCTTATCCCATTGATCACAATGCGTGGAAACCCTACGAGCGTGCATTTCTTTCCCGCCTTCTGCTGCGAGTACTTGAAAGGCAAGAGCCGTGGCCCGTTTATTTTTCTGTCTCGCCGGTGGTTACAGCATAGTGGGTGTTCCATAAACGTCAGTTAGATACACGGACTTCGTTTAATGGGAATCTGGCTCAGAATTGATGAGACAGGCGGCGAGTCGTGGGAATGGCCCGGAGAGCGAGATCCCCTGCATAATGCCATTTTAACTTTCCCTTCGATCTTGACCAGAGCTTCGTACCTCCACTTTCATCCGAATCTGACCCCACCCCGAACACACCTAAAGGCCGAGTCCCTGGTGGATGGTAGCCAGCCGGTCCTTGAGGTTCGCAGAGAGAAAGGTCAGCTCATAGCGAAATTGGAGAGGGTTGAGACGTGAGCGGTAGCATAAAAGGCATCTTATGAGAACCCATAGAGAGGCGAGTGCTCCTTGTAAATCTAGCATGGCGAGATTTTAATAAACGAGGCCATTGGGATGTGTGGGGCTTTATATATCATGCTCCATATTTATATTCCTGTCAACTTTCCTCGCTTAAGCAATGTATTTATTA